GCATTTTCAGGGAAATCATTTTGCTTTTGAAACGTGATTGTTAACAGACATTATGCTTATATAATATGTGTAATTTATCTTTCAAAGTAATTTTGCTTCAGTAATTTGGAATTGTAAATTTGTAATATTCATAATAATATTGTAATATTACTTTAGTAGTAGCTTGGTTTACTAAATGAACGAACTCAAAGATTTTTCCAGAGCACCAAAAAGTGGATCAAATTATTAGGAAATTTATTTTGCAATATTAAACAACGCGTAATACCAAGCAAAAATTTTAAAATTTTCTTAAAGTTAAGCACATATTTTCCATTCGTTAAACAAAATGATATAATTAACTTTGCCTAGGTTACAGAAACACTGTTTCTTGAAAGATTTTATTATACAATAACCAATACAAATTGTGTGAATCTCAAATAAGTTTACACAACAGCTTTAGTTCTTATAACTTATTAAATTAATATGTAAGAAATTTCCTTTTCTTCATGAGCTGATCAAAATTAATTCTTTTTTGCATAATTACAAAATGAGACTCTTATCGACAGGGATTACACAATTTTGTTGAATTAAGAATTATAAAAAATTAGCAAATACTACGATTAATCTTTAAAATTATTTACCATATTTTTTTCATATTATTTTCTTCTAATCATTTACTCAACATGCATATATAATTATGTATATATAACAAGTATTATTTAATTATTTACATAAGTTTTAATGAGCATGAATCTAAGTCATGAATTATTACAAAAGGAATTATTCTAATTGTTGGTAATATAGCTGTAATAGTTCTTAATATATACATTAACATTACAAGATATAATAGAAACAAAATGTTCAACTTTTACCTTAAAATAACATTTTTATTCTATAGTCATTAAATAGAAGATAAAAATAAAACCATGTATAAAGTTCACGAGACTAGAGAAATCTAAAGTCGCGTGATGAACTGATGAAAGAAGTCATGAATATTTGCGAGTAAATTGTTACACTTATGGTATAAAAAAAAGTCTTATCTTGTATCTTGTGTGTATTTTTCAACAAACTAAAAAAAAAAACAAAATTGTCAGTGTGCAAATATTAAAATTAATGAAAAAATATTTATTAAAATAATATTACCATACTTTATATTATTTCAAATGTTAATATTTGCTATGTTTTATTTAAAATACTAAAAACAAAATACTTGTTTATACAGCGATTAGAATACTACTTGTAGTAACTCTCTAAAATTTGTAATATTTTTTTTCTAATACCTTCGTTACAGTTAATATTAAAGGCGTTAAACAAAATATATAAAAAATACAAGTGTTTTATAACTTTAACGTGAAACTGAACAAATGGCAATAAAATGATAAACAACTTATTTTTAAAATATTTAGTAGTAAAAAATTAATAATAAAAATTTTTTAAACGTGTACAAATTAAATGCAAAGAAATATTAATAATTCTATTTTGACGTCAGCACATTTGAAATGTAAAATAGAAAGCAATTTCCGAATAACTGTATTGACCCCCAATTCTCGTTATAATATTTTTATATTAACTCTCTACAGCAATTACTCTTTACTAACTGCTCTTTACTCATACTATTAATGGTTTCTTGTGACTTATGTACTATAACTATATGTGAAATTCATTTCCCCAATTAAAAATGACGAAACGACCTCATTATTTTTTAATTCTATTAATATAAATGACCCAAATATTACCTGTACAGATATAATTTCAATTTTTGTTACAATAATCAAAAAATACATGAAAACGTGATTTTACATTTTAGCGATCATTTTTAAAATATTTTAAATGATAATTTATGTTAAATAATTCATTATATTGCTAATATACGTTAATTAGTAAAATTTAGAAAAAAACAAAGTAACATTCCGAAAATATGTACAAAATTAAATGTGATTGTAAATACATTGTATTTATTCTGCCTTACATATACTCGTATTGGCACTGCATTTATAATTGTTATAAAATCTAGAATTATCTGCTTAAATAACAAAGTGGCTTAGTTCTACTAGTTAGTAATACGATATCTTACTTTAATAAATTCGAATTAAATCAATGGTTTGTAAAAATAATAGCAGTTTGCCCTTCAACAAGAGAAAATTTTCTTAAAATCGATCTAATAGATATTTGAATTACATACTTTTATTAAAAAATCAATATATATTAAGTTATTGCATAAATTTAGGATGAAATAAAACAAAAAAAGTTGAAATAAGTTCTAATATAACTCAACCCGTTATGTAAGCGATTTAGGATTATTAATAATAATTATATTTCTTGATGGTATGGCACTTACCGTTAATCTTTTTGTATCTAAAATTTTGTCTTTCCATCTTGAAAGGTGTAGAAGTTTTGTAAACAGATACATGTATGTACGGACGGACACAGTGAAAACGATAGGCATTTTTTTCATCTCATGATTTTTATAATAAATGTGATTTTGTAGTCAATTAAAATTTTCTTTACTCACCACACATTTTGTTTTTATAAATGAGACATTAATAAAAATCAATGTAATAAAGATCAGTAAAATTTATTTTGTAATAAAAATTTTTATTATATTTTACATAATTCTTCTTTTTTACGAATTTAAATTTAAACTTCAATGCAGTTCCCTAAAATTCGTGTTAATCCTTGTGCTTTTAAAAACGAAATCTACATGAAAAAATTCAAGATATTATAAAAATAATTTAAAATTGACAAAAATTTTATTTACCTTAAAAAATTTTATTTTATTGCCAAACAAATAATTTTTTAGACTGCTTTTTTTAACTTAAACTCTCTTACAAACTAATATTAAGTAATTATGTCTCGATTCAAAGTTCAGTTAATAAAAGATGCGTAGTAAATAAAGTACTATAATATATTAATAAATATTATACTAATTGTCTAAAAATATTATATTATAGGTAGATCTCAGGAGACAAGAAAACATAATAAAAGAGTTTTTATATGGTCTCAAAAATTTAAGTGGTTAATGAACTACTTAGTCACTTAATTATTCATGTAAAAAATTTCTAAAATATTTATAAAAACAAAAAGCCCGCAAATAGGTATATATAATTCATTAATGAATTAGGTACTAGGTTTTAAAGCAGAAGTAGGTATAGGCGTTCCGAATTTTTCTATGTTTTTTCAAAATGTATAACAATTAAGAGATTTTAAAAGTAAAACTCTTAAAAAAATTCCGAATTCTAAAAAAATATTACTATGAATAAATTATTGCAATTTGATTCACTCGCTTATGCTTGGTTGACTAGCCAATTTTTCCTGATTGCGACGGCAAAAGGGAAGGCTCGAAAAACTCTACTAGGTAATTTTGGCCACATAAATAAAGCTTCATATAATAACCTTCTATACAAAGTAAAACCCAATTTTATGCTCTCAATTTTATAAATACATACACTATTCCTTTTTATCTCAATTCTCCATCATTTTGCTTAAGTTTTAAAAATTATGACATGTCACGGTAAATATGGTAGATTGGCGGCATTTAATGAAATAGTTAAATAAAAAAGTTACTTATTTGTTAAACATATAAGGGAACCGTTTATAAGGAAGATTCTAAAACCTTTATTTTCAATTTATTAACAACTAAAATTTATTACTATTCAGTTTACTTCAATTTTTATGATAATTTAGGACATTAAATAATTTAGTACTTGAACTGTTCTTAAATAAACATAATTAAATTAAGAAATTATTAAATGTTTCACTAATTTCAATAAAATTGTTAATATTTTTATAGCCGTTTCATAAATGTTTTCTTTATCGAATTTTATACTTACCAAAACAATAAAAATTCTCATACTCAATTATTATGGTATACCGATACTTTCTTCATATCTTATGAAATTTTATGCGTTTTGGTGAACGCGCCCAATATTTCGGTAATATTTATATTTCCACTATCAATGAACAAAACACTAATATTGAACACATTTATGTGATCAGGAATAAATTCATTTTAGTACTTACATCAGTAATTTATTCCTAAAGGTTAGCTGAACAGTTCTACTATAAAAAAAGTTCTTGTAGCTCGTAAAATATCTTATGTTTATATTATGGGTAAAAAATTTTTAATTGAATTGTATATAACACATTTAACAATTTAGAAGTATAAAGAATTTTTTGCGGGCATAATAAATTTAATTCAGTTTTTTATTATTAAAATAACCTTAAATATTATAAAAATATAGTTTGTATACTCTTTCTTCTACCATTTCCATAATCACAATGAATTTAGAACGCTGAATTAAAGCCATTGATATAGAAATCGGAAAACTCTGTACTCGCCGTTATATCATTGAAAAAAAAAATTTTTTAATCCACATTTGTGCCATCTGTTGGAATTTGGCAATAACTTTTATTATCCACTTATATTCCATGTATATTGGTTTGGGTCTAAAATTGGACTAATCTTATGTTAGTCTCCAATAAAAGGTTTTTGTACGGAATAATATTATTTTATATATGAAAACTGTTATACATTAATTTAAATTGTAATAAAACAGATTTTACTAGATTTTTATCAAAAAATTTAATATTAAATGGTTTATGTTTCTGCTAAAAGATAAACCATATAAACTGTTATTTCTTCAAATGCAAATTTAAATTTCATGATGATCATAATATAATATTATTTTCGTCAGTATTTTGTCAAAATTTACATCCATATTCTGTTAGTCGCATCACTTGAACCATCACGGGTTGTTGCGATTTGCTAATATTGTTCGTTCTGCCGAAAAAAATTTTTTAAAACTTAATTGAATTTAGAAAACTTGTACTCAACCCAATAAAAATTATTACGATAGTGCCATGACAATTAAAAATTTTCTTTAATTTTGTCTCACTAATATCATTCACAAGTTCTTCGTTTTGTTGAAAGTGTAGTTTAAACATTAAAAAAAACAACAAACACGCTTTTTTTATTTTAATATTAATTCAAATTTATTAATTAATATAATTGTAAATTTTGCTTATGATACAACGTAATCAAAACTGAAACCAGTTTCTGGAGCATTGATGTCATATAATTCATCGGCATTAAAAACTATACTCAACGGCCCAGGATTAAACGCTAAAATTACAAATGCATAAATTTATGGACTGAAAAATAAAAAATTTAAAATATGACAACTTACATGTTACTTGCTCATTATTTAAAATATCTCCACAATAATAAGTAGCGCGTACATTTGATGTAGTAAGCGTACTTAATGGTATCATTAGGAAATCTAAAATATAAAAGATAATAAATTATAGCGATATTCTTGGTTATTTTTTGATAAATCCTTTAAAATTTTAAATTACAATAAAATTCTAACCTTCATATCTGCCAGGGGTTTGTATTTGTGGATAACAATTATTGTCCACATTTATTCCTTGTGCATTTGGTAGAAAACCAATATTAAAGCTTCGTGGAGTTAATCTGCACGATGAATAATTTTTGTATAAGGCAACAAAATGTATAACAATTAAATCACAAGTTTTATAAATAAAAAGCTTACTTTTAAACAAAATGTAGTGCTTTTGCTAATAAAAAAAAAGCAAAAATTAATACTTACCTTAGGTTTTGAGTATTAACATTTCTTCGGAAACAAATTGCATATCTCATGTTACCAGGATAAACACCATTCCCATTATTATAATTAAAAGAACTGATTGTTCCTGTAGCCTCTGGATAATATTGTGTACAACCATTTGGTGCTATTCTAAATCCATCTTTATAAAATGTACGTGGACTTATTTCATTATTAAACCAGGTTCTAGATGGTATTGGAAAAATATTATTAACCGCAGTACTAAATCCATCAACTAAACTACGTAATGGTGATCCCAAAGAACATTCAAGTTGTGTTACTTGTAAATTCCAATTTGGTTGAGCAATTCCTGCCCCACGAGCTGCTATCGTAATTGTTATATCTTTGGTTGTATCACCAGCAGTTCTATTAAAAGGTATATAAATATGTTGCCTGGTATCTGTACCACAAAGACGAAATTGTCCAATTTGTAAAATATCACTCATACATTGTGGATACTGAAGATTATTTGAACTTGATGGTAAAGTAGGTGGAAGTAGATTTATGTCGAAATCAACACGTAACTTTTATAAAAAAAAATATTTTTTTTTAATTAGATAACAAAATATAATTTCTAATTTTATTCAAGAGAGGAAGGGCTGCTAATATTTTGTTGTGCACTCAAACTTTATTAAAATCAAATTTTTAAAATAATTTTTGTTTAAATTAATTGGTGTTTATCACAAAGTTCGTGCGAGCTTATAAAAAATATTTGAGAATTTTTCTTGAAGTAATGCGAACAATATTGATAGAACTATTTTTTTTCTGATAAAATAAGTTACTTTCCAATCGGCCTGAATACTCAAACTTTAATTTTACTTACTTGACAGACACTTAAACTTTTAGCTCTTATTGTATATCTACAAACACTTGGAATATTACTTGTTGGTGTTGAAAGTGTTAAATATTTTGAAGCAGATGATCTTCCACAAGCTAATCTTATATTTAAGTTAGCCTCACCAAACTTGTTCCCAATTATAATTAAGGCGTAAAAACTAAATAAAAATTCAATTAGTTTTAACATATTCTTTTATTTTTTTCTTATTGAAACAAGATTTTTTTCTTTAAAATTAGCACCGATACTAAAATTATTAACTTATTTTTAACTCTTATATACTTATTTGTATACGATTGAATTTTCAATTCGAAAACAACACTAAATTGAGTAAATAATAACCAATAATAAATCGAATAACAATATCTTATCAAAGTCTCTTACATAATTTGAAACAATTAGATGTCTACAGTGATGTTTAACAGGATCAGATAAAATTTTTTAAGATATAAAAGTTTTGTACAATAGAGAAATAGACAGAAAGAAAATTATAAGTAGAATGTTGCAATATTGAACAACACCAACAATTTTTAATTAGTCATTGAAAAAATAAAGGTGTACAAAATTATTTTACTTTCTACATTTTCGATGATATCATTTTTCATAGAAATTAAATAGAATTTTTTGTGACATTGACCTATAATTCTTATAATGGTAAAGTAACACGAAAAAAAGTATTTAGGTATCATTTAAGGTACCGTCGAAACAATTTAACATGAAAATTTTATCAAAAACTTATGGCAGTATCTTAACCTTGTTCTGATTTCTTTTTCAGTTGCTTAATTTAATATTTATTATGCCACCGAAAAAAATAGTGAGTCCAATTTTTCTTTTTTTTTTGAAAACTTATCTGAATTAAAAACATGAATGTTGATTACATGAGACAAGATGTTTTAATTGTTGTATGGAAGAAGAATGTGAATTTATACATATTTATTATATACAGTGATATTTCGCAACCACAAGAGTGTACTATGTAATTGCAAAAGAAAATTTCTTAACTCATATTCTATTAATTTTTGTGCAATTGTATGTTGATTTGCTTAGTGATTTCAATAAGGTTTTAGTTAGATTCTGTCTATCGGATGATATTATTACTTATTTAATTTTATCTTATAATTCATGACACATGTAAAAGTTCATTTACATATTAAAAATGTATTTATTCCTTATTCCAATTAAAATATTCTTTTGATTTCGTTGTTGCAGATTGTAGATTGTAGAATGGGGCGATGATGCACTGCAACCTAAAAGATCTATTATCGCCCCACCATCAGCGCTCAGTGTCCCGCCTAGAGCAACCCCTCGAGACCCACACTTTTGAAGAATCCGAACAAATTTTTCGAAGGGTTGTCCCACAACGGCATGTCCACCAGCCAGGGACCGCGCAAGCTGAATGCGGTTCCTATATTTTAATTCGTTATTGAATGCGGTTCCTATATTTTAATGAAAGTTGCATTTAACAGATACATATATATTTTATAACAGATGTGTTATATTTACGTAATTATGAACAAAATGTAGAAGAGTGCTCAAATAACTCAAATGAACAAAATAGTGTCAAATAACTTAAATAAACAAAGTACTATATATCTATAGCCACAAAGCTGAAGTTATTTTCCGAAAATAATTTCCGATCATTCCTTCCACATAAACTTCATATATAAATTTGAAAATTTATTTTTAATTTACTCGAGCTTGGTGGCATGATAAATATATGAATATGGAATTATTTCAATGTATAGAAGAGTATTGAAATGTTCCTATAAATTTGGAATGGAAATCAAACTCAACAAACCAATTATTTACATACACTTATACATGTACATATATACTTGAAAATTTTTGATTAAAACCAGTTTTCTCAACCTAATATTATTTTTTGCGGTCATATTTAAAATAGATTCAATTTATATATTAAGTAGTTGTTAATTGTTAAGATATTGAAAAAACTCTAAATTTAGCTCATTGTGTTAAACTCTAACTATCTTAAAATTTTCCTATTTTAAAATTTTTTGTAATTATTTTTCGCATATTATCACAACATTCAAACCTTTTCAAAATCACAATATTGTAGAAATCAAAAATATGTATATGTGAATGTATACGGTATAAACTAAAAAATAATATAAATGACGAATATAATAAATAACAACAATAAACATCCTGTTGATTTGATAAATCTTCCTAATCTAATACCCATAACTTTTTTGAATAACTTTTTAATAAAATTTTCTAATTTAAAAATAAATTTTAAATTAAACTTTATTTTAGTTTATTTTCCTTTTTAGATTTTTGTTTATTTTTTTTACTTTCTATATTATTGCTCTTCAATTAAAAATAACAGAATAGAAAAAAAAACAACAAACAACGAACAATAAAATGAAAATAATAAATAAACTTCGTTATATTTTCAACACTAACCACATCATAATATTAATTAAATCAACAACAACAACAAAAACAACAATAACACAAGTTGAAAAAAGGGAAATAGAAAAAAAAAGACCGTTTAAAAAATACGGTATAGTAAATCTAAATTCTCAAGTTTCGAAAAAAAAGAAATATGTGTACATAATATTAGGTCCCTGCTTTACGCCATACACACAAACAATCATAATAGATGTACATGTATGTATTTAAGGATATATGGTATGATATGATTTGAATTTACATGTATGAATTCATTTTGAACAAATAGTAGCTATAAAGTAGCATACTTCTTTTACAAATATAGGAAGATAGAACGTTGTATTAGTTCCATGAGAACTGATCAAATCAGTAACAAAAATAATAATTAAATAAACCTTATAAATATTTTAATAGGGTACATTCTAACCAAGTATGATACACATAAAATTTTTGAATTTACGAACATGCATGTACGCTTACATAAACATATTAATATTAGAATAAAACGTATAGTGTATATTAGTTTTAATATGAAATATGTTGGTAATAAAGAAATAAATAAATTCAATAAAAGCGAGTATTATTAAATTTTGCTGATTATAAAATATTCGTATTACAACAATATTAAATGCAATATTATTAATTTCTCTATATTTAACAATGACAACACACATAAAAAACATGCCACATCCTAACAGGATTCAGGAACACGATGTTTCTACACACATCCATAATTATTTTGTATGAATGAAAATCACACTATTGTGATATTTTAGTACTGCATTCATATTCATATCAAATAATAAACTATTGAATATGAATATGACTACAAAAGAGATGGATTAAAGAGAGAAAGAGATTGAGATGGAGAGATAGAGAATAATAAATTCTAAATTTAAGTACAAATTGCTTGCAATTCTTAAAAAAAATAAAAACAAATTTACAAAAAAAAACGAGAAAAAATAGAGTTGACCGTGTCAACTTTGTGATACCCGAACGAATTTGCTATCTTATCTGCGAATAAATATGTCATAGCTGACTATGGGATAGACTATATAACTTTAAGTTAACTTAAAATTGTATGGCAGCTATCAGAAGGAACCAAACAATTTCAACTACTTTTATCAAACACATTGGCCCAACTAATATATTCGATTGTGTGAAATTTCAATACAAAATCTTTTACAGTTTCTAAGATATAGTCAAATATTATTATAATATTATTATAATATCTAAGATATATCAAATATTATTATTTATTATAATATTATTATAATCGACGCTGATCAAAAACATACACTTGAGTCTATATCTCAGAGCATTATTTCTTAGCGTTACAAAAGGTAAGGCAATTCGTGTTTACTTCATGAAAAGACCAACTTTTGGTACACCAATATTCAATGGTCCCAATCAAAGTACCGAAAGCATTAGTTTCAGAAATAAAACATACTCTTTTATCCACCCTCATTGTATTTTAACTTGTTATTTTGATTGCCCATTATGAAAATGAAAGAAGTTTAACATTATTTTTAAACAAACAACAAAATATATGCCAATATTCAAATTAAATTTTAATTTATTTTTGATATTATCAGGATGTCTTTTTCCCTAATTATTTATCAAGTTAAACATGTTATTTTACTTTCAATTAATTATTCAATTTTCCATAGTATACACATGTCTGCTTCTGCAAATAGCATTTTTTTTTTTATTATCATCCTAGTTTTCATCGAAATTATTGAACAATAATTCGTTTTGTCCCAAATAATATTCAAAGCATCAGTTTAAAATTTTTCAATTTTCCAATTCAAAGTATATGTATCAGGATAGTTATCCTGAAATTGATTTGCTTAAATTTTTTAGCGAAAAATCTTTTTATTTCACTCATTATTCACAAAATTTTACCTACAAAATGTGTACCGTGCGATAATTTTGATATGGACAAAATTTTCTATATAAATCAAAAGAAAGGGTAAAAATATCATTGAAAAATATAGAATTTTCGTAATACATATACAATATAATTCCAATTACCTATTAGTAAAAAAATTTCTATATAAATTAATTCCCATGTATAGGTACACACTACACACTAATTATATAATATCTCTAAAAGATCTCTATTATTGAAGGATAAGCTGTATAGAAATAATATTCGCATAATACGAAGGCAAAAAGCCATAATATTACATACATATATACATATGTATATAATTTCGTATATTTTTGAAATTAATGGCGATGAAAGTAGAAATAAATATGGGATTGAAAAAAATTCAATTTAAATTAGAATTTTTCTTTTTAAAGGATTTTATATAAATTTTAAAAAACTGAAATTTGTACATTATTTTTATGCATACTTTGCGATTATATTACCATAATATAAAATATAATAAAAGGATATACGGTCAATAGAACTACTTTTATTGTGCAATTTAATAGCACAAAAAAAATATAAGCAAAATAAATCATTCGCAAAAAAATAAATTTAAAATTTTATATTAAATAGAAAATTATAAATAATTATTATTATTTATCTAATAATAAATTGAGTACATAAAATGCTTTATAAAGAGAAAATATATAATTTAAATTTTATATATATATACATATGGATTATTAACATTATTATATACATAACATTATATTTTGTGTTTTAATGCAATATTTACAGTAAATTGACCTTCAATCAATTATATTATATTAGAATATTAATG